GCCCGTTTTGCCAACTCATTTGGCATATTTCTCAGAGCTTCAGTGTTTACGCAAAACCAACGATGCTTTTGTGAGTAAAACTCTCAAGCGTAACAGAAATGGTATATTGTTTTGCACTCGCAAGCCCTTACATGAATCAAAAAGTGATACCATAAAAACTGAATGTTTCGGCGACGTATCTCCACTTAGAGTGAATTCTGTTTTTTGAGAGGTGGATGCAATAACAGTCCCAGAATAATAAACACGGTTTGCAAACGATACTCCCTTCAGTATAACTTTTTAAGCAAACATTAGACAAAACTTGTATTTCTGAAGAACGGCGTTTATTTTAAGCGGGGAACATTATAAATTGGTTCACTGAATATAGCGAAACCATGCAAGGTGTGTCAGATGGGTTAACGAAACGGGCAGATCGATTGAACTCTCCCAGATAGATATATGCTACGGCATTTTATACCATTACGCCGATCGAATATGCAACATACGATCGTCACACATTCCCATTTTTTAACATCAAAGTTGAAGCAAGTAAAAGGGTTCAAAATTCGTCATCTCAATCTTTTCCATTTAATCCGGAGTGGAATCTAGATATAAGTGAGAATTTGGAGGAGTACTACAATATACCGATTCCCATATAGCGATTCCTAGAGCATGGCAGAGAATTTAAAAGCAAGTTTTATTCACTAAAATATTCTTGGCTGGAAAATGTTTCCGTGGAAACACATGACCGCTTTCGCGCTATTTACCGCTGGCTATATATACATATCCGGTAATGTCTCATCTAGTTAAAGCGGCAAACACCGCAAAGTCGGTCGTGTGCCTTCAGAGAATTGTTTTTCACTTCTTCACAGAATACTTATTACATATTCTACAATAGCATTCAGCCGAACGTTTTGCGTCTGATATCATCTAACCCGCAAAACATTGTTTAGAATCATCGTTTGGATTCATTATCGGCTGGCTTTGAGCAGCATGTTCATCAAACATACACCACCAGCGGTTGATTAGAGGTTTGTGACGAAAACCTCAAGAAGCACAGTTAAACTAGTCTTTTTTGCCATTAGATTTGGAGTGCGTTCTGACAGTTGATATTGCCCTCTCAGGGCGTAAAGGGCTTTTGAACCCAGTAGTATTTCTACGTACTCATCTGAAGATACAAGGGTCCTAAACGCTGAAAGTGAAAAATGTTGCCACAGCATTCGAGTGGGATAGATCCCAAAGTCATCCTTACCGGAAAATTAATAGCGAATGCGAAACAGTGTTATATTTGGTCTAATATATTTCACATGGTGAACACATTACCAGTGAAGTGACGGTACGTAAACTGAAGTCTCGAAGGATACTTGCCAAGTTAAAATACCTGTGATGCGGTGACGACATCCAGATGTCTGGGAATAGTCACGTGTACGCTGAAGTCGATCGACCAACTTCGTACTACGGAACAGACTTTGTTATTATGAAAACAAGATAAAGATTGTCCGTTGATATTCGAACACCATAGTGTACGCCCGATTGCACAAGTCTGGTGGTAAAACCGGACAGACAATGCCTAGGTCAGGAGCAGAGTTTTAGGCAATCGCAATCACCATTTACAGTAAGTGTTCGATTTTCTTAGAGTACCTTATTTGGGGCATGTGTTACGCATGTCACAAAGTAGATTGCCATGCGCGTGGTTTTTCGAAGCAGCTAGTGGGTGGAAAAACGTGACAGTGGTCAAACGAAGAATTGGTATGATGGTATGGGAACCCTGACCAGGAGTCTTACCTGTATCGATCGCATTGAGCCACCTGGATGAAGACACCGGAATCAGCATAATCCATAGTTCGGGAAGCTTAGTGATATGGCTGAATGTCGCAAACAGGGGCCCTGGTGCATCTCGATTTCTCTGCACTCTTAGTCTTCGTGAATCGGCTATTTCCACTCTGACTTTGATTTGAAAAGTTCAACCTTCCCTCTCCTTTCCCATCCAATTGGGCAGTTTAGGCAAAATGAAACCCGGATTTGGTGTGCGAAAACGAATATATTCCAGAGAAGCGGTGTATATCGATTCTCTGATCGCTTTGAAAGAAATGGCGGTGGTGCTGCTGCTGCTGGTATCAAAGCAAATCTTTATTCATTCATGCTCATCTATACTGGAGTTCCCTGGAAAACAAGGTATGGTACATACATTCAGAGTAACAGTTTGTTTCCGCGAATTAACTTATACTTTCTCTAATAAGGGGGCGAAGGTGGTGTTCCTAACGATATAATTAGAATGTGGAACGTTGAATCGCACTGAATTAAAATATCTCTAAAGGTAAGAAGCTACTCATCTGTCGATTTGTTACAGAAAATGTCTTTGAGTCTTCGACGGGAGGAAATCACTAGTTTTATACTCAGTTTCACACTGAGTTTGACCACTACAATTCAAACTTCTTAGTATTCGCAGAATTAAGCGCTAGGAAAAGGTGGTGATGAGAATTATATATGGTGCGAACGCAACAATAATATGACAATAATAATGAAAGGGGACAGGTGTATTGGGATACAGAACAGAGTGAAAAGGGGGTGAAAG